GCATATACCTAGCATAAAGTCCAGCATCTTATTGTCCAGATAAGTTCAGTGGCCTCTTGGGGAGACCTTCTCTGGTCTGAAGGTAGAGCTAACACAGTAAAGTTCTGGTCAGTTAAAATCCCCAACAAAACATCAGCATCAATATGCAACATTATGGAATTAATTGACATAGTATTGAGTAAACAATATGTTAAAAATAATGCAAGTTCAATTCTTCAAAACATCTAGGTTGAGACAGTATCAATGACAGGTTCAAAAAATAACAACCCACCAAGCAAAAATTACAGGTTAAATCAAGGCAAAAATGTGGTATCTAACCTTTTGGGCTTCACTCATTTCCCTTAGCATTATAGTTTCCAGTTGGGCCCATTTAGCCACAAAGAACTGCATTTTGTTTTTTTTAATAGCTGAGTAGTATTCCATGGAGTAGATGAACCAAAGTTTTCTTATCCAATCTTCTGCTGATGGGCATTTCGGTTGCTTCCATGTTTTTGCAATTACTGATTGTGCTGCAATGAACATAGGGATGCATGTTGGTTTGTCGTAAAACAGGTGTTTTGGATATATTCCTAGGAGTGCTATTGCTGGGTCATATGGTATGCAGATTTTGAGTTGTTTGAGTGTTTTCCAGACTAATTTCCATAAAGGCTGTACCAACTTGCAGCTCCACCAGCAGTGGAGTAGGGTTCCCTTTTCCCCGCATCCTCGCCAGCGTCGTTGGTGTTCTTGTTTATGTGGGCCAATCTTACTGGTGTTAGGTGGTACCTCATCGATGTCTTAATTTGGATTTCCCTTATTGCCAGGGAACTAGAGCATTTTTTCATATGTTTATTTGCCATTTGGGCTTGTTCCTTTGTGAAATGTTTGCCCATTTCCTGAGCCCATTTCTTGAGTGGCTTGTTTGTTTTGGATTTTTGGTTGTTTTGGAGTTCTTTGTATATTCTGGAGATTAGCCCACTATCTCCTACATAGTGCGCGAAGATCTTCTCTTTTTTACTTTGCTAATTGTTTTCCTTGCTGTACAGAAGCTTCTTAGTTTGATGAGGTCCCACTTGTTTATTCTGTTCTTAACTGCTATTGCTTTTGGCGTCCTTCTTAGAAAGTCAGGACCTACTCCTAGGTCTGGCAGGGTATTTCCAACATTTCCTTCCAAGAGTTTGAAGGTTTCTGGATGTAGGTTTAGGTCTTTTATCCATTTAGATTGGATCTTAGTGTATGGTGACAGGTGTGGGTCTATTTTAATTTTTATAAAATAAGAGGTTTTTTGAAAGCCCATTTTAGTTTGTATTTTTTAATTCATTATTATCATTCTTGACATTATACAAAAATGAATAAAAGAGAATATTAGTCCCTCCTAGGCAACAGAGATAAAGTTCAAACCATCTGGTTCAAACTTCCCAACTCTTAGATCATGAAACTAGTAACCTAATGCTTTGGTTTTTAATGCAAAGATCTTGGTACTTTCTGGAATAGCATACTTCGCAGTGGCAATAACAACATTCAATATAAGTAATAGTGAACATGGACTTATTCTGTGTCAAGGTCTCTGCCATCTTGGAGCATATAGTTTAATCTTTGCAACCCAACTTGAACTAATAATTGTTGCTACTTTCATTTTATAGCTAGGAAATGGGAGCACAGATAAATCAAATAATTTCTCTGGAATTCAAAACTGCAACCTGTGAACTTTTGTGCACAACCACAACCTAGCTCATTTTGTATTGATAGATGTGTCCTTGAATATATTTCATGTTTTTGTGACTTCTAATCTTTTTTATTTGGAAAAAAAAAAGATTTTGTCTTTGAAAGTTCTTCGTAACCACTGAGTAGATAAAGTGAAGAACAAAGAACTTGAGATGGAGATCAGAGGTGAGGAGAGGTTGCGAATGGATTCCCAAGAAAGATCAGGAAGTGATCCAGGTCAGTATTGATCAGTGAGGGGACAAATGACTGGACAATGATACAGTTCGAGGTCATGAGTTCATGGGGCCATGGATAACTATGAAAACAAAACCTTTATCTGTGTGAAATCTTTACTGAATTCTATGTACATGTATTTGTATTTCCTTTTATTCTCAAGTAAGAGCATACAAATGCACTCCACCTGATTGTGTTGTTTTGTGCTGTTCTCACACAGTTCTGCTATGTGCATGTTTCTTCATTTTTTCTTTTGAATAGCTCCATAATGTTACTCCATCCCTATTGTTGAGGCTTTGGGATTGTTTCCAGTTATAAATAACACAGCTATGCTATTTCTAGACTAATTTTAGTTTAGATGACTTCCTTTATATATATTCACAAAGTTCAATTTCTGTGTCAAAATGTAAGATGTATTTTTTTTACTGTTATTGCTAGATTTCTTTCTAGAAGTGCTAAATAATAAAATACAAAGCAACAGCATTGAATCGCTAGCATTCCATTTTATTGATTTAATCACCATGACTAGTTACCCCTTTAGTTTTTTAACCACAACAGTTCTATCACCATTATCCTGTATCAAAACCACTACTACCAATTCCTTCACTAACACACTTAAAACCAACACCATGACTGCCATCAGCTACCTTCAGTCAACATCACTATCAACACTATGGTCCACCACCTTTATCATCTTGATAGCGTCTGTCACCATTATTCACCTCCATCACATCTTTGAACTCACCGCCAACTCCGGCACTATTACTTTCACCATTGTCTATTACCTTCACCACCATCTTTATTTACCGCACTCAATCCTCATTTGCTGCCATTCCCTCACCACCACTATTAGTGTGCCTCTTGTTAATGGAAACATTAAATATATACTGAATGCTGTACTAAATGTCCTGCTTTTATTACTTCTTTTAGCTTCACAATAACTGTTGAAGATATCCCTACTCCATACTTTTGATTAGAAAGCTGAGACTGAGAGGTTATTACTCTTGATTTAAAAAAAAAAAAAGCAGCTTAAAAAGTGAGAAGACGAAGATTCACATCTGTGTCCGTATGGGTCTATTCTCTGACTTGCCAGTATCCCCACATACTGGCTTAAACACTGTGGGATTTTAAACTTGCCTATTTGGATTTCTGTAGCTGGATTTCCTTCCATTGAGGCTATACATCTTTCCATGTGTTGAGTTATTGTCTACATTTGTTGTGTAGAACCCTTTTAATTATTTCTTAGGTTCTCATTTTGAATGACTATTGGCCTTAAGTCATTAGATTAATTCTATACCTGTTTCTTGTAGTAAATCTTTCTTTTTACATTTATAACATGCAATTTTATGGCCTCCCTATGTTTTCTTTTTCAGCTCATTTTTTAATATTCTAACATGGCAATTGTATGCATTATTGCGTCTCAGGGGATCAGAAATATTTCTTCTTGGTTTGATTAGAGGAAAGAAAATTCTTACTGTAATTTGTTTTTATGGTAATCATTTTGTATTAACCAAAATGTATTATTTTATGTAAAGTGTCAACCTAATAAACCAAGAGTGAATATACAATTAAATGTATGAATGTTCCTATAATCTAATTGGTCTCCTGAATTAAAAAATGAGTAGTGCTTGATTTTTTTTTAAAGATTTATTTTATTTTTTATTGGAAAGTCAGATACACAGGAAGGAGGAGAAACAGAGAGGAAGATCTTCCGTCCAATGATTCATTTCCCAAGTAAGTGCAATGGCCAGTACTATGCTGATTGGAAGCCAGGATCCAGGAGCTTCTTCCAGGTCTCCCACATGGGTGCAGGGGCCCAAGGCTTTGGGCAGTTCTCAACTGCTTTCCCAGGCCACAAGCAGGGAACTGGATGGGAAGTGGAGCTGCCGGGATTAGAACCAGTGTCCATATGGGATGTCAGCGCTTTCAAGGCAAGGACTTTAGGCGCTAGGCCATGCTGCCAGGGCCAGTGCTTGATTTTTGTAGGTAAACTATTATTGCTTCTTTGGAGGTATAGGTTATTATCATAACTTGAATCTACTTTTGACATGTCATTTATACCAAATTTGTTTTTGTCATTTTGTCTCAGTATCATGAGGTTTTGCTAAGAGTCATATGTTTTTAAATCCAGCAGGTTTGCCCTAAGTATATTCATTTAGTAAAAATTTCTTTGAATATTTTTCCTGCTTCTCCTTTTGAAAGAACATTAAAATCAGATATGATAGAATATTCTGTGGATACTTTTAGCTTATTAAAAATAGAGTTTGTAAAATTAAGAATATTTGATAAAGTATAATCCTTCATTTAAAATTCTTTTTTCCTCAGGATTTTATCCTTTCAAAATAATTTTCTGACTTTGAGCTAATGTGTTATTTAAGCATTCAGTGATTTTTTTCCATCAAGTACATAAATTATAGTGCATTGTAAAATTACCTTAATGTCAAAATTTAACTGTCTTTGTCTCTTACTAACTCATCAGCTTTTACTGAAACTACAGAATCTAAAGAGATGGTTGAGATGCTATGAGTTTTCTCTGCTACTTAAAAAACAGTATCCATGTTAATAAAAATTATGACAGCCTCTTAAGTGCCAAAATGTTTCTAAAAGACAGGGAGCCAGGTGTGCCAATCTGAGGAAAGTCCTGACAAAGATATTCATTAGCAGATGCTAAGTCTGGCAGAGCCCACCAGAAGTGAAGGTACGAAAAACTGTGATCTGGAGCTGCAATAACACTAAACTTCAAGCCCCTTTCTTTTCTTTTTCTCTCTCATTTTCATTCTTCCGGGGCTCCTATGTGTTGATACTAGCCAATAGCAACAAGGAAGACGGGAGCAAAAGCTAGAACAACGATCTCAGAGAATGGCCTCTTATAAATTATAGCCATGCAAACCTTGATGGCCTCCTTTCTCCCCGGTGCTAATGGGATCCTGGACATGAGGACCCATCTGGCTGCATAGCACTCCACAAGGCAGGGCACATAAGCATGGAGACCTCCTACTGCAATTCAGCAAAGTTGATGAGTTCAACACCCACTCATTTATTCAACAATTGAGCTGCGCATTCCACTGACTTCATGCAACATCTATCTGTGCTTCATTGTTGTCCATCTCTGAAAATGGAGATGGGGAAAATAGAAGCACAGATAGGACCAGGTGAACATCTACATCCTTCCACTCACAAATCAGTATATTTAATATTGAAGAATGCCTGTCCCCAGGGCAATGAGCCCTGCCAACTAATAATCCAACATTAGTAAGTGGGCCCTCGGGGAAGAACAGGCCAGCTGGGTTAAAACCTGGGCAGTCTCTGAAGGCCCAGCTCAACCTCTTCCCTTAAGGCTCTTTCTCACTGCCTCCTCGCCACTATTTTAGCATCCACCCAGCAAGTCAGCACCTTTAAATGGTCCATTTGCTTGCTTACTAATTTACATTCCTCTGTTCTTTTATTAATTTCTTATTGAGGATAGCATAACTGCCTACTCCCAGATTTTTCTGCCCAGACACATAATTGCAGAAATTTGTTCTTTCAAGATGGCTAATCATGTCACACAGTAGAGAAACTGGAACCACAAAATTGTATTTTGATTTTTAAAGCAAATCCGGATTTGGGTGACCATCAGCAAAAGAACTCCTTAGCATTATTGTGAGAAAAAGGGAGAAATTTAACAGTCATTCATTGATGTCCTTCTTGTGGTGACAGTCCTTGGTATGTATGAAACATGCTAGAAAGATTGTGCTTATCAGCTTTGTATCATTTTAAGTAATGTGTGAAAGGAACCATTTAAAAGGAACTTTCGTTCCAGCTTTCACTTTGGAGCCCACAGTCCGAAACTGAGCTGCCCCATTAGTCTGGGGAATGGTGGACGCTCTCAGTAGCAAAGGGGATGCCGGGTAATCTCATGGTAAATCAGGAGTGCAAGAGAAAACACTCCCTTCATCTGCCCGCCATGTGGTCTCCTTTTACCATGCCATCCAACTGAGATCATGGGGCTCCACCCTAGTGACCTAATCCAGTCACTTCCCAGAGGCCCCACCTTCAGACACCATAATTGGATCAAGTCTCAGCCCTAATCCATTAACATACAGCTTTGAGTTCTAAAAACCTGCATGGGTCTGGGAAACAGAATCCCATAGAACTCATTATCAGAGGTAAAACACATTCCTGAAGTTGAATAGGGGTTATTAGACTAAAACTCCAAAACAGAAAATAGGGGAAGAAAGGCAGCATCTGTTTTCTTGCTTGTTATTCTGGAAAAATCTTCAAATCAGCGTTCCAATTTTCATAGACCACATTGTGGATATTGCATTTTTTTTTTTGAATGAGTGGATGGGCATATTGTGGAGAGCAGAGATTCCCCAAAATAAGACTTTGTTTATTTTCACAACTGTCATAATTGCAAAACACACATAATTAGTAAATGTCTACTCTTGGAAAACTGCTGACAGAATACTCAACATGAGGGCACTTCAAAAAGTTCTTGGAAAATGCATATTGTTAAAAAATATGCATAGACTTCAAAATTTTTTTGCACCAAAAATTCCACTTTCCAGGAACTTTTGAAAGCCCCCTAATATCCTGAGATGCCACTGACTTCAATTAATGTCCAATCATTTATCCACAAACAGCACAATTCCAGCACGGGGTGTCACGCTTTTAGAAAGTATAAGAAACTGACACTATAGTCCAAATGGGGAGACAAGACTTACCAATAAAAAAAAAAACACTAATAATAGAACATAGTTAAGCAGAGAGGGCAAAACAAACTGCCAAATGATCATACTTACCAAATGAAATATTAGAAATGAGCCTGAGGTTAAAGAAAGCACTTCAGACTGCAGAAGTCAGTCAAGACTGCCGGGGAAGGGACGACTTGAGCCTCTTAAGCACAAGACATCACTGAGTACATTCGGGTGGAGCCAGCTTATTAAAAGCCAGGTCAGGCTATGACCCAGCCACCGGTCAGCTTGGTGCCCACACAACTGGCCATTAGAGTAAGTTGAGTAATTGTACCAATGACCAAAGTGAGAGCCCAGCTTTAATTTCTACTAGTCATTCAGACACAGCTTGAGAGATTCACTACCAAGAAGCCAATGAATCAATCAGAGAGTAGAGGTGGAGGAACTGATAAGAGAGTTCGGGGAGTCTTGACAGTGAAAAGCAATGGAAGCATCAGACTATGGTGCCAAATAGGCAACTAAACAGAATGTTCACACAGACAGCACAGCCTGAAATAAATGACTGGACATGTCAGTCAAAAGGCTTCTTACTTGAAGGAAAATGACCTCTGCTCCAATAGCTTCATTCTTTTCTCTCCTTCCATTATTACTCAGTGATTTGTACATTTTTTTAAAGACAATATGAAATCAGGAAAGGGAAGATGTTATTAGGATTGAAGAGACCCAAGTGTGAGACCAGTTTTTGTCAACCATACTTTGAAACTTGAGGCATGTGACTGAAGCTTTTTAGATCTGCTTTTTCCCTCAGATGATTGTAATCTCACCACTCTAATCACGTTACCAGATTCTTTGGGCCTGAAGTAAGATATACCGGTTAAAAGTTTTGATGTGATGAACACCTGCTTTCTTATCAGCTGCTTCCCATTCTCTGTGTCCTGTAATGCTGGGGATCGTGTTAATTTAGAGGGGCTAGCCCTATTTGTCAATAAGGAAACTATGACAAGGAGAAATTAGTGATTTGTTCAAAGCCGGTTGATTAATGCAACAGCAGTTCTCCGAAACTTATTAGTCACCCTCCCAGGAAACATCCCCAGGAAGCCCTTGCCCTTGTCTCCTCTGCCTAATCAGACGGGGCTACTTTCTGCTTTGAAAAGGTGTGAAATAGAAAGCTGAAAGAGCTTTGTGCTTGAAGTGGGGTGTTGTACATCTGTGTCAAGATCACACGAACTGTTGAACGCTGCAATGACAGAAAAGCAAGGCGGTTGGAGGAGATTTGACACAGGGATCCAGAAGCTTGAGTGATAACTTCATTTGCATTCTCAATACTTTTTAAGTCTCAGCTTAAAGCACTTGGACTGGAATTATTCCCTGCTTCTGGGATACCTGTAGGTCCATCTTATCTTCCATCTGTAGAATTAAAAATATGTTCTAGAAAAGCAGCACTCTTAACTTTTTCTACAAGTAAGAGTCACTCAGGAGTTTTCAAAAGAATGCCAGTGTCCAGGCTTCGGCCCAGATTAATGCTATCAGAATCTCTGGTAATAGGTGATGACAGTAAAGATTTTGATAGCTCCCAAATGCAGCCAAGTTAGTATGCTATTGTTCCTGCCAAGCAAAGAAAGAATCTCTCCAAGGCAAATTTGAGCTCCTAGTATTTTAAGACTCAGACTTTCTGGCAACAAGGAAAACCTGCTTTGACATCATATCAAATGGTACCTCTTTTGTTGATTTGTTTGTCTTGTAGTAACTAGTGGAAAGTTCCTGTGATTCCACCCTGAGTCTTCTTTCTGTAAGACCATTGCTGGTTTTGATTAATATTTTTAAATGTGCAAGAGAGAGAGAGAGACTGAAAGACAGAATCCACATCTGTTGCTTCAGTCCCCCAAATGTTTGCCATGACAGGACTGGGTTAAGGTCAAAGTTGGAAGCTGTGAATGCAATTCTGTTCTCCAGCATGAGTGCCAGGATCTCAATCACTTGACTATCATAACTGCTTCCAAGGTCTATACTGGCATGAAGCTGGAGTCAGGAGCCACAGCTGGAATAAACCCAAATACCCCAGTATAGGATAAAAACATCTTGGCTGCTAGACTGACAGTCAGCACTCCATTGTTGCCTTTTAGAAAATGACCACCCTTGGATTAACCTAGCATTTTATGGCCATCTCTCTGCTTACTCTTAAAAGTGGCTATCCAGGTGTCATTTAAGGGTCAAATGTGGTTTTTAAATTATTTGTTGTTTTAAATGGAGAGGTATATTGGAGGTGACCCATCCAGTCAGCACAGGAAATATTTCCCTAGCACACAGACAAATTGACAGATAAACACATCTATGGACAGAAAACAGAATTTTGAAGTGATGATACTCTCCTACAATTTTATGTGTTTTCTTTTTCTATTGGGGGTCCTAGCGGGCACTTAGAAACAGGCAAAACTGGGTGCATCTTCAGGCGTAAGGGCTCTCCAACTAGGAATGCTGTGGAGAGCTGTAGTTCAGCGCCTCTGCTCCTCACTACCTCTGTTCCTGTGGGCCTGAGAATCACCAGGGAGATGATGAAACATGCTGATTCCAGGGCCCCACCCTCAGATAGTGCCTGTGGGAGGTGCTCTGAGAAGTCCAAGGCTAGGAAACATCCTATCCAAGGAAAGCAGGCTTCCCCAAGCTCCTACCAGCAATGTGGACTTCTGCATGAGGAATGATTTTCTCCTCAAGATTCTCCTTTCATACTGCAGAGATGAGCAGCCCAGGCACTCATATGAATTCCTGCCTGGTGTGGGCAGATGTGAGAAGAGGACAAAAGGAGAGTCTGAGTAAATGTGTCATTGAGTGAAGGAAAGCAAGATTCTGAATCCAGGACAGGAAGTGGGAATTGTTCGCTTCCCCAACAGCAGCATGGCTGACTTTGTATGGAGAACAACTCACATACCCCCAGCGCCGAGAAGAGTCTAGCCGGGATGCCTAGGCCTTTTGTCGCCATGCAATCAGAAAGCAACAGAAAAAGAAAATAAAATGGATGATGTAAAATATCTAAAGTAAAACAGATTTCTCCACCAATTCAATTGTTCTGAAATAAAAATACTATCTTATCAGTGTTCAGACTTTCTGGAAACATACAAATCCCTGAAAAAATGTGAAAAAAATAAGATTCAAAGGTAACTTTAATTCCACCCATAGATTTTTGAAATACATACACAATTTTTTTTTTTTTTCATTAAGAAGTTCGTGTAGGTTGGGGTTTTGACACAGTGGATTAAACGACCTCTTAGGATGCCCGTGTTGTAAGTCAGAATTTCAGTTCTTGACCCCACTCTTCAACTTCTCATCTAGCTTCCTGCTAGTGAATGTACTTGGGAAGGCAGCAGATGTTGGCTTGATTACTTAAGAGTTCCTTCTATATAATAGGAGACCTGGATAAAGTTCCTGTCTTCCGGTTTTGGCCCCTGTCCTGGGCTCTTTGGCCATCTGGAGAATGAACCAGCAGGTGGAAGTTCTCTTTCTCTCTGTCACTCTAGCTTTCAAATAAATAAGTCTGAAAAAAAAAAAAAACTCATGGAAAATAGGAATTGAGAAAAAAGTGCGCATAAATTTCATGAAATTTTTATGTAAAAAAAAACTTACCTTTTAATTCCATTTACCACAAACCTTTTGAAATATTCCCTTGTATGTGAGTAAACATACTGTGTGTGTGTGTGTGTGTGTGTGTACAACAAAGATGAAGTAAACACAAACACTCTTCTATTTAGCAACCTGATTTGGGCTCTCCGTGTCTTTCCACATGTGTAATTTTGTGACATCCTTCACTATATGGATGCATTGAAATACATGCAACTAATCTCCAACTAATAGACATTTGGTTTGGTTATAGCTTTTCCTAATTTGAAACAAGGATGCAATGAACATTCTTTGAATATATTTTCTTTGTCCACTTAAGACATTCCTATCAGTGAACTATTTTGACCATCGGAAGGTCTGAATTTGCTTTCAAATTAGATAGAGGAAACCCCCACAAAAATATTGTACCAATATCTCTTTTCTATCCATTTTGTAAATTTTCATGGTTTTTTTATGTGTATTTAACATTTTTAATCAAATAAGAAAAGTTTCCTTAGCTAAAGGCATGCCTTTTCACGTATTTATTGTCTCTGTACTCATTTTCTTGTACACTAAATGTTCGTATCTCTTGCCAGTAATCAAGTTTCACCTTTGTGTCTTCACACCTTATATACTTTCATTTTTACTATGGCACCTGCTGGCATAACGGTTGGAGCACAAAGAATCGCATATTCAAGAAACCAAATTCCACTGAGAAAGTGAGATTTTAAAAAGTGTTAGCATTTTAAAAAGTGTTTCATATTTCTTAATGAAGTCTTTAGGAAATGGAGCAACATCTTATATTCAGCAGAATACAATGATAGAAACAAATATAGAATCTTAAGTTTTTGTTGAACAAATGACTGTAAACATATAGACTGAGAGATAGATAGGTAGATAGATAGATAGATAGATAGATAGATAGATAGATAGATAGATATACATACAATGTATCTGGCTGTCTGCTAGGCACAGTGAAGCAATCAGCATCCCTGCTTTTTATGAATCTGAAGTTTTGTTGAGGCTTTGGATGTATGGAGTGATAATTAAAAGCAGAAAGCAATGTCTCTGATTCTTAAAGATCTCAGCTGTTGAGGCTAACAGATCTATCAACAAATAATGTCAACATAATAGAACAAGAGTGGAGATTGCACAATATGCCATGGGAGCACGAATGTTAGGGGAAAAGAAGAGTTCAGCTGCTAAGGAAGTATAGGGAGAGTTTCAAGCAGCATGGGTAAAGGTCCAAAGGTAGGTAACAGTGGGACACAGGAAACCAAGCCATTTCAAGATTCCTAGAATCTACACTGCCAGAGACCGGCAGGGAAGAGGGGAAGTGGGGAGGAGACTGGGCACAGGTCATAACCCAGCAGAGCACTAGGGAACAAGCTCTGTGCTCAGGCACAGAAGGGCTTTGAGAAAGGGCATGGCATGCACTGAAATACATCATAGAAAGCATATTCTGAGCACTGACACAAAATGGATTTGAGAGATGAGGTGTGTGGCTCACAGAGAGACGTTAAACCCATTCAATGGCAATGAAGAATATGATGATACAGCTGCAGAAATGAAGATGAAGAATAGAAAGATCTCAAAGTAGGGACTTGGTGGCCAGTAGCAATGAGGGTGATAAAGGGGCAAGACAAAAATACGGGCTCGATTTTAGTGACTGAACAAATGATGATGTTAATGACCAGGAATGAAAGTGTGGGATAAGGAAAGAATTTGAAGGAAGAAAATGTTAATGCTGTTGTTTTAAAAAACGTTTATTGAGGAAACTGGGATATCCATGGGATATCCTCAATAGATGATTGTATGCTTCTGTGAGGCTCTTGGTTAGGGCAAGGGCAAAGACTGAGAAATAAAATTTTGGAATGAGTGAATTAACTCAGGATGGATTATTAGGTACAACCTGAGTGAGTCTCTCTGATAGTTCACTCATAACCAGGTGCAGCTCCCAGGCAAGTTAAATTTCCCTCCATTGGTCCATCACCCTGAAAGAGAATGAAATTTGGCCTAGACCCTTAAACCCTTTTAGATGCCTTACAAGAGTGGAGTAGTGCAATTCTTTACTGTTGAAAGAGAATGAACTCCTGGCTGAACATTTGTTTAAGTTTCCTCCTCTGAAGAGAGAGAAGTTCCATAGCTCCACAACAGTTCGCTTGCAGTAAAGAGAAAATTTGGGTTCACAGCCACGGGTGCAGTTAAAGGATAGTGCTTCTTCTGTGAAAAGCTGCCTTCCCATTAGCAAACAACAGATGGGGGTCTCTTTTGGACTTCACCTGTTACTATATCAACATTAACAAGTTTCTTGTCAAACATCTGTCAATTATAATGAATCATAAATTTAGTTTTGGGGAAACAACAGAATGAAGCACCAAGGTCCTTCAGAGAATTACGGTCCAGTTTGGGCTCTGCCACTCACTAGCTCAGAGAATTTGGGCAACTTGTTTTATTTACTGAATTAGAGTTTCCTAATTTTTGTTCAAATGGTGAGGATAAGAAGAAACCTCTGTTCTCCCACCTCTCAGAACTTTTGGTTTGATGATAAAATATTTGGGGATGTCCCATGCAAATATGATTATTATTTGAAGATACCAGGTAAGAAACGCGTATTTAGAAGGCTTCAACATTCAACTGGCAAATGAAATATGGCATGAATGGCACTCATCCCTTTGCATTTATTCACCAAATGTTCACTGAGAAACTACACAGTGGGAGGCACTATGCTCAATGCTAGGAGTAGAACAAGTGAAGGGACACCATGGAAAGATGTGGAAAGGCTATGTACTGTGTGATCCATCTATATGACATTTTGGAAAAGGCAAAACTATAGAGATAATAAAAAGATCAGTGGCTATCATTAACTGGGGAAAGAATGGATGAGTAGGTGGAGCAGAGAATACTTACGGCAGGAAAAATATTCTTTATAGCAGTGAATCCATGCCATTCGTTCATAACTATCAGATGTGCCATACCAACAGTGAGCTGTGGACTTGGGGTAATTATGGTGTGTCACTTTAGGTCTATCAAGTGTAAAAATGTGTCAGTCTGGCACAAGATGATAAGGAGGGAGGCTGTGCATGTATAGGAGCAGAGATCAACTGAAAACTGGGTATGTTCTGCTGCACTTTGCTGTGAACCTAAAACTTCTTTAAAACGGTTGAGTTGAAAGGGCTGATGGGTGGAGTGGATGGTGCATGCCTTAGATGGATCTGTAGTTTATGAGACATTAGGAGACTGTCAATTAATCTCCATATAATGATAACTCATATAATGAACACTGTGTATGCTGTTCCTTCTTATCCCAATATTTTGTCTTAATTTGTGAGAAGGACATGCAGAGGGTCAGTACTGTTTATTGTTCAAACAGGACCCCTTGGTCTTTTGTCACTGCGGGGTAAAAGGTACCCACAGTGAATGGTTTCAGCCACTGGCAGCCTCCTGGGAATGGATAGGGGAGCTATAGGACCATCCACATGATCATGCATACAACATCGATATGACCATCTGGGCAGAGCAGAGCAGGAGTTGGTATTGACTGGTGAACTCACCCAGACCACTTTGGCGTGGCTGTTTTGAATCCCTCTGCCCTTTAATTTGAAGACTTCCCGCAAGGGGCTAGTGCCTATGAGTAACACTGTGCTTAGATCAGCATTTTGGCCCTAACTGTCAGGAGGGCTCATTAAGTATATTAAGTTGGTGTCTGCTGATGCAATTGCCCTGTGCTGTGTTAATGAGAGATAAATGACTAAATCTGAATTGAGCTGTATTCATCTTGGGATTTTATGAAAGGGAAAAATACCAATGGTTGAGTTTGCAAGCTGGCAAAAGAACAAGATAAATACAAATTGATTTTAATGTAATTGAATTAATCTCAGTGCATGTTTTTTTAAACGTGAAATCACTTAGATCAAATATCAACATCTGAGAGTAGATTCACCCATCCTCCACAAGTCCTGGCCATTGAGCAAAAGTAAGCGTGAAGGAACTGGCAGTGAAAAATGGTCATTGCAAAAGTGCCTTAGAAAAATGTGTCTCCTTGTACGTAGCGGTGCATTGCAAACCTTTGCAAAGTGCATATAATCAAAGAAATTACAAATAGTTCTGGGACAATGGAGAAATTCTTTCCTGTAAAGGATTTTCTGCAAACTCCACATATATTCAGTAGAGCCATCGTTAATGATTTATGTTGTAACTTTTTGAAGTTTTCTGGCCAGATTTTGTCCAAGGGTGTACCAAAATTACAAAAATTGCATAGTGCAGTTACATAGGAAAAGAGTAAGACTGTGACCCCCTTCTTCCCAATATAGGGTCCATGAGAGACAGAGGAGGGACTCAGGCCGGGCCTCTACTCCTCAGGCATAAAATACTTCATGCTACCTCAGAGCCCTCACACGCATTGTCCCTGTTTCCTGCCCCTTCCAGTTTTCAAAGGCCCAGACTGTCATCTCTGCAGAGGAGCCTTCCTTGCTGGTCTCCACTGAAAAGGAAG